GGCGGCTCCAGGCCTCCGGCTGCGCAGTCCGCGGGCACCATGGACCACCACGGTAAACTGGGGCGGGCCGTGCTGCTGTGCCTAAAGCCGAGCCGCGCGGGGGTCCCCACAACCTCGTATGCCCCGCCTGGGCTCCCCGAGAGGTTGCTTTCCGAGTTCCGGCTGCTTGGCTGGATTTCCCTCACTGCTCTGGACCCCGGACATGGGCCTGGAGAGGGTCCGCGGACACTTTCCCCCGATCTCGCTTCTTCCCAGTGCCTTCCTCCAAAAGCGTGAGACTTCGGACCCCGAATAGCTACTAAGGGCAGACTACATAATACCTTTCGTGTAAACAGAGGAGGATAGGTGGGATTTTACATATGTATGTGTATGTGAATAGACTTTAATTAGCATGCACTAGAGGGGCACAGGAAAAGTTGCTGAGGTGGTTGACTTTTGGATCCTCTGTAAGACCAAGGATAGAAGGGAAAAAGACTTTTTATTAGGGTTTAAATTCTGTCCCTTTCGCATCAATAGCTTTTTTTTTTTTTTCTCAAAATTAGATCGTATTCACAGTAAAGTGTTTTCTTTGTCACCCATCAACATCTGTCATGTCTCTGAAACCAAATACCCCGAAAAGGAAGTATTTTGTAAATTATTTTGTTTATGTTAACCATTAACAAGCTCTTTGACTTACATCCTGGTAAACGAATGTCATGAATCTCTTTTTTTGTCTTCTCAGAGTTAATTGAGTACTTTAAGTCTCAGATGAAAGAAGATCCTGACATGGCCTCAGCAGTGGCTGCCATCCGGACTTTGCTGGAATTCTTGAAGAGGGATAAAGGTAAAGAGGATCATCCCTAAATACTCTGGGCCTTAAGAAAGTCTTCTAATGCTTTTCAGAAATGTAGAAAGTGAAAGGTGCGTGTTTGCCTACATAGGTGATGCCCCACACTCAGCTTCTGCCTCCTTTCAGGCCCTTGAACCTTGAAAGAGCCTTCAAATTATCATCTAGAGGGTCTCCTTTCATAAACAAAATATGCTTTGAGTCAAGAATAAACATTTTAGGGACCAGCAGTTGGCATAAGCTATGTCGCTGGACTCCCAGGTAGTTGACCACATTCGAGTCCCGGACCCAGTGGCTTAAACTCACACCGGGCATGTGTGCGTGCGAGCCCAAGGTCCCAAGAAGAGAATGAAGAAGGGATTGTGGCATGGCCATCTCCCCTGGGGGTGATTTCTCGCTTTTTGTCTCTCTGGTGAGCGCACACGTACTACATCAAAAATCTCTTAGGAAAAAAAAAAGAATCTGAAAAGGTTGGCCTAAAGGCTTGTCTCTAGGAGGAACTGCAGTGTCCTCCCTTTGTATTACGATAACATCCGAACCCCTTGGCCTCACCTACTCCCTGCAGTCCTCGCATCTGCCACTGCTACTTAATAGTCTTCTGTGCTACCCCTCACTGAATCTTGCTCAGCTAGGCTGGCCCTGTTTACTTCTCATACCAAGTTTGCTCTCATCTCCAGGGACCTTTGCCATCAGTTACATGGCTGGATTCTTTCTTGTTCGGATCTGTTTAAATGGTCTCCACCCCAGGAAGCCATTCCACTTAAGCAACCTCACCTTGCTCATTATTCTGCTTTTTTTCTGACTTCATTAAAGTCTGGAATTTACTTATTTTCTTTTTCTAATTTCACCACAGGGTGCATGCACTGGCCAGAGACAGACACACAGGGCGGTAGTGGGGAGGAGGGTCATGTGCTGGGAGAGAGAGAAAGCAAAAAATCACCGCCCATGGGCATGGTCCTGTCATAATCCCTTCTCCGTTTCTCCCTCCTGTCAGGATTTTGGGCAGGCACGCACGTGTACCCGACGTGTTTTTCAGGCCCGAGTCCAGAACTGAAACTACACAGGCAGTCACCTTAGCCCCCATGCCATGGGCTGGCCCTCTCGTTTCTCTCATTGTATGCTGGTTTATTGTCTGTTTCCTTCACTAGCAAGAGAGGTCCAGCAAAGCAGAACCCCATTCTCCAGCGTACCCTCACACCTAGAACAGTGCCTGGCATACAGTGTGTACCCAGCACGTCTTCACTGAGTGAACGAATGAACTGCAGACCCAGGGAGGGACTGTGATACCAATGTGCCCATCACATTCCTTGTTTGGTCATGCCAGGGGAGACCATCCAGGGCCTGAGAGCAAATCTCACCAGCGCCATAGAAACCCTGTGTGGCGTGGACTCCTCCGTAGCGGTGTCCTCCGGCGGGAAGCTCTTCCTCCGCTTCATCAGCCTTACCTCCCTGGAATACTCCGTAAGCCCCCACCCTCCAGCGGTTTCCCTTCCCATTTCCTGAGTGGCAGCAAAGTCTCCGCTTTACCTAGATCTTCCCTCTCCCCCACATTGCTCTTTGCTCCTAGGATTACTCCAAATGTAAAAAGATCATGATTGAGCGGGGAGAGCTGTTTCTCAGGAGAACCTCACTGTCGAGAAATAAAATCGCAGATCTGTGCCATACTTTCATCAAGGACGGAGCGGTGAGTAGACACCCCGTGAGTGCGGTAATTGGGAGCCAGCGCTTTGCAGTCAGGCTGTCTGGGATGAAGTCTTGGCCCGGCCACTTCCCTGCTTTGTGACGTTGAAGTCGCTCGGCTCTCCCTCCAGTTTTCTCACCTGTTACAAAAGGGCGATAACTGTGCCTACCTCGTGGGGTTGTTGTGAGGAAGCAGTGAGAGTGTGGGAGGGCCTGGCACTGTGTCTGGCACACAGTGAGCATGCCTAAGTGTAGACGTCACTCGAAAGAGGCAGAGAAAATGCTGGGACAGCTTGGAAGATACTTGGCTTAAATAAGATGTTTGGTTTAGTAAGATATTTTACAAAGCAGTGCTTTTATCCTTGGATATGTAGTGCATTAATCTGAACCAGGTCCACACAGAGCTGTTACTGTTACTGCTGAGTAGTGAGCGTCTTCCCAGTGAAGGCTGGCACTGGGCGGAGACTTTTGTTTGAACTTTATTTCGATGCTATTACAGAGACGCCCAGCCACACAGTGCTTATAAATTTGGGGAGGAAAGGCAGGAGCTGCAAGTTAAGCCAGTCTCCCAACAAAGGGCAGTGACTTTTATAATGTCTCCTGCCGGCCTACATCCTTTTTGCACGTAAACCTCCACTGACCATACGGTTTACTCGCATTTTGACTCTTAAATCTTGTCCTCTGTTTTATTACCCTCTCCCAGCCTTTGAAGTGCGATATTAAATAAATGATGTAGTAGGGGTGCAGAGAGCTTGTATAACACCCAGCTCCAAACAAAGCCTTTTGACCCCGTGGAGGCGGGGCCATGGCTGCCCTGCCGAGGCCCCCTCCTGCAGACTATGTGCGGCAGTCCATCTGCTCTAGCTCAGTGTGATGTGTGCACACTTCCCCGCAGGAGCCCTGGTGCAGACCAGAGTCAGGGCAGGGCTGCTCGAATTCAACCACACAGACACGTCGTCCTTGGCTGTTCTGCTTTGCTTTATGCTCCCTGCCTGGTGCCCGCAGGCCCCCAAGTGCAGACCATGTCTTAGAAACATTCCATAGGCACCTGCCGGAGCCTTCTGCTCTGCAGGCATCAGTGTCTTGTAACTTAGAATGGGGGTCCCACTAATGCACCTGCTGTGGGACGAAAGGAACTTTTAAGCTTGTATCTGGACTTGAAACCATGGCCTGCTGAGGTCTCCCTCTTGATAATGGGCGAGTTGGAGAAAGCGTACAGAGCAGCTGAAGGTGCCGGGGACGTGCCTCTCAGCACGCTGTGTGGGTGATCGAGGGCATCCTGGCCTGATGCTGCTCTCGGCCCACAGAGAATACTGACTCATGCCTACTCCAGAGTGGTCCTGAGAGTGCTGGAAGCAGCCGTGGCAGCCAAGAAGCGCTTCAGCGTGTATGTCACAGAGTCACAGCCTGATTTATCGGGGCAAGTATCCTCCGACTGGGCTATGCCAGCAGTTGTTTTGAGCAGGAGACTGGGGACTAGAAACCATCATAATGGGAACCAGCATGGGCCCCCGCTCACCAGTCAGCCAGCGTTGCCTTCGCACCCGTTCTTGCCCTGGGAGAAAAACCGCTGCACCTGCAGTAGGTTGCAGGCCAGGACCCAGGGATTTTATTTATGTAAGTAGTTAAATCAGAGGAACAGCAAGACATTGTGTTGCTTAAAAGAGTTTTAATCAAGAACTTGGTAATCCAGGGGCCAGCCCCTGGGCTGATTAAGGCAGCTGAATCCCACATGGCCAGCTGTGCAGTTCAAGTCCCAAACCCAAAGGCATGAAAAACACACCAGGCACGTGTAGGGAAAGAACAGCAGCATTGCCATCCCCTATAGGGGGCGCTTTCCCGCTGCCTCCCTCCAGCAAGTAATGTGCCCTCTAGCAAATTTTTCTTAAAAATTGGAAATCCACTTCTCCATCTATCCAGAAGATGACAGAAGCGAAACCTTTTCCTTCTGTCTGGGTCTGCATCTCTAGCCCTGTCCCCAAGGATCGTTTTCCTGAAATGCACGCTTCCTTATAAATCCAGATTCTCGTTTCCTTAGACTGCAGCCTCAATCCATTAATAGTAACTGAGTTTCAAGCTAATGGGATTTGTCACTGTCCACTGTGGACTTTCCTGGAGTGTCTCTAATGCTGTCAAATGTCATCTTCAGTAAGAAAATGGCCAAAGCCCTCTGCCACCTCAACGTCCCCGTCACCGTAGTGCTGGATGCTGCTGTTGGGTAAGCACCTCTTGTCCCTGCCACAGCCACCCTTCCTCACCCCCCAGGGCTGGCTTGGAGCAGAGTCTGCAGACTGATTCAAGTCCGAGTCTGCACAGCGTCCTGCATGCTAATTAATAGCTGCGAGCTGCGTTAAGCCAGGAAGCTCACTGAGGCCTCCACGGCATGCACAGAAGATGGACCGTAGGGTCAGGAAGAGCGCAGGGGAGGGGGCTGTGTCCAGGCACTGTACCTACAAGCGCTAGTACATTTCAGGCCAGTCAGGGTCAGCGGTTAGGGAATCGCACTCTCTGCATCCAGAGACATAGGCCATGCCCCACAGCATGCGGGGGTGCTTTGTCTCACCTGTGTGGCTTCTCTGAGACCAAGGGCACAGAGAAGTGGCTTGATGTATTTCACAGGAGAAACAGGAGTGGTCATCTCTTAGAAAGAAGAGACGTGACAGTTGATTAAGGAAATCGGGAAATGTGTTGAAAAAAGAGAACACGTTTGGAGGAATTCATTAATTCCTCTAAAAAAAAGTTTTGTCAGAGGGTCTATATGCTCATCAGAGAGAGTGGGCCTGATCGTACCACAACCCTTTCTCCTTCCTGTCAAGATTTAAGGCGTGTGTGCACACACACATGCCAGCATGTTTCTCAAGCCGTCAAGGCCAGGATTCAAACCAGTCAGCCATGTGGATCTGGTTTTCTGTGCACTCATCTTACCTGCTGTGCTACTGGGCCTGTCTGAGCTCTCATTTTAAAAAGTAAATAAATGGTCCTGGGCTGGCTCCATGATGCAGTGATAATGTGCTGCTTCAGAAAAGCTGGATCCCACACAGTGCAGTTGGAAGCCCCTGCCGGGTCAGCCTGAAACACGTATGCACCTGCGATCCCACAGGCTGGAGGAGGGGATCGCAGCATAACCAGACCCTGTAGAGGGTCTTACTAGAATGATTCTTACAATCTGTAATACTTTTTTTCAACTTCAGTTGTATTAGGCTTTAGATTTTTGTGTCCTTTGTAGAAATACAGTGGGACAGAGAGTACATCACACTGGTAAGGTAAATACGGTGCCACACGGCCTTGGTATCAGCTCCAGGGTGTGATCATCTCATGCTAACTGCTCTTATAAAGAAAGCTAGCTATGGGAGGAACTAACCATGAGAAAATGGAGTATCAATCTTTGCAGGTGTTGGTTACTAACCAGAGCCAACAAGAGAACATACATTTTTTCAATGTTACCTTTTCTTAGGTATATCATGGAAAAAGCAGACCTTGTCATTGTTGGTGCGGAAGGAGTGGTTGAAAACGGAGGGATCATTAACAAGGTAGGACCAGCAGCGTGGGCCCAGGGCACCAGGGGGCGTGGCTGCTGTGGCTGTTGCTCTGAACCTGCTCTGCTGCAGGACCTCCACATGGAACCAAATTGCTGCCCAGTTCCCGTCAGCCATTGCAGTGGTCACGTCTTAGTCAAAGTCCTTCTTTGCAGATCGAGCTATAGAAACTAAGACAGTATCATTTATGTTTATGCAAAATGGGCCTATCATTGGCATTGGAAGTTCTGATTCTTGTTTTCATTTTGACTGAGGATATCCAATCTCTGTAAAAGATTTTGTTACAATTTCTCTATATATTGCTGAACTTGGCAAGGCTTCATTTTTTTTTTTTAGTTGTGGCCAAATACATGCGAAATTTGCCATTAAAGCATTTAAAAATGTACAATTTGGGGCCAGCAGGTGGAATGGTGGTTGGGGTTCTGGACTCCCACATGGCTGATCACAGTTCAAGTCCTGGACCTGAAGGCTTAAAAATCATGCAGGCATGTGTGTGTGCATGCCCAAAATCCCAGGAGAATGGAGAAGACGGGATTGTAGTGTGGTCATCCCCCCGGGGGGGTGATTTCTCACTTCCTCTCTCTCTCTCTCTCTGGCAAGCACAAATGCCCTATAGCAGAAAGCTAAACAAAACAAAACAAAACAAAAATCATGGAAAGATTTATTTTGGTATGAGATTCTGAGACCCAACTGTCTCCCCCTCCCCCCATAATATACATTTTCCTTGAACATTTTGAAGACCCCCATACACCTAGAAGTGGAACTGCAGGTTCATGGAGTAACTGCTTGTTTACTTTTGAGGAACCACTGTTTTCCACCACAACTGCACCTGTTCACATTTTTACCAGCAACGTTCAAGGGTTCCAGTATTCTTTCTTTAGAGAGATTTTTGGTCTAGGGCGAATGCACTCGCCAGAGAGACAGAAAGCAAGAATCCCCCACCGGGGATAGCCATGCTGCAATCCCTTCTCCATTTTCTTGGGATTTTGGGCATACACGCACATGCATCCAGCATGTTTTAAGCCACCAGGTCTGTGGTCAACTACATGGGAGTCTAGTGACGTAACCATTATGCCATCTGCTGGTCCTGGGTTCTAGTTTCTCTACATCCCTGTCAACACTTATTTCCCAGTTTTTTAATTATAGCTGTCCTGGGAGGTATGAAGGTACCTCAGTGTGACTTTGACTTGCATTTCCCTGATGACTAGTGACCCTGAGCTTCTTTTCATGTGCTCAGTAGCCACGGGCCTATCTTTGGACAAATGTCTATTCTGTTTTCTTTTTTAAAGATGTCCCCCAGTTCCAACGCCAGAATTACATTTTATGTTCATTTGTACACTTTGTTTCTTCTACTTCTCTGCTCATCCTTCTCTGCTTTCTCTGCCTTTCCAGATTGGAACCAACCAGATGGCCGTATGTGCCAAAGCACAGAACAAGCCTTTTTATGTGGTTGCAGAGAGTTTCAAGTTTGTCCGACTCTTCCCACTAAACCAGCAAGACGTCCCAGATAAGTTTAAGGCAAGAGATGTGTGTATCTGAGGGGCGCACGGGCACACAGACCCCTTTGGGAACTGCAGTGCTGGGCACATCTAGTACGGTACTCACTTCTCATTGCAGTTTTCTCCAGAACTCAGGGTGCAAAGGTAAACTGGTGGTTGCTGAATTCCGACTCACGCATTCGACCCCAGACTCCAGTCTCCTGGTCTCCCATGCACTGTACGCGGGCTGAGAGCAGGCGGGGAGCTGGCGGTTAGGAGCCCCAGCTCTAATGAGCGGCCTGGGCTCGGCCCCCTCTCCACTGCTTACAGCCCACGTGACCGCAGGCAGGTCCTCTCACTTCAACTTCCACGTCCTTATCTGGGAAGAGGAGTGGGAATGACCTAGCAGGAGCCTGGCATGGGGCAAGAGCACCACATCATTACCTTGAGAAGCCAGGAGGAGTTAATTCACCACTGACAAGGGACAGTGTGTTTCCTGTTATCCTAAGGCCCTTGGCTAGCAGGCCTTCTGTGACCTGGCCCAGGAGGGCAACTCTGCCCTCCTGGCCCACACCTGCACAGCCACCTTCTCCCCGTTTCCAGAGGACGGCTCAGGCAGGAGCACACCAATTACTCCAGTCAAGGCCCCCAAGTCCCAAGCCCTCCCAGGTCGTGAGCCCTGAGCAGGCAAAGGGGCTAATATTTGCATTTTACCTCCTCAGTATAAGGCAGACACTCTGAAGTCTATGCAGACCGGACAGGACCTCAAGGAGGAGCATCCGTGGGTCGACTACACCTCCCCGTCCTTAATCACCCTGCTGTTTACAGACCTGGGCGTGCTCACACCCTCAGCAGTCAGCGACGAACTCATCAAGCTGTATCTCTAATCCCGGGTCCTTTCCTGCCAACATCCAACTGAACTATTAACGAAGATTTGTGGACTAAAGATTCAGAATCATAAATCTCGGAAAATCCTTTTCATTCTCATCTAAAATGTGTTTGTGGTTCTAAACACAACCTGAATCATGCTTAGTTTCCAGAAATACCCGTTAGATGATTGGCTACTTAACTGAAGGAAGAAGACCTGCCCAGGTCCAGCCCCCTCAGCTTCCCCTGCACACCAGACTGGCCAAACACAGGTGTTTCTAACCAGAGCCAGGCACCTCTGCAATAAATGACCAACAGCCGTCCAGGACACACCTGAAAAACGGTGCCCGTGTCCAGGCAAGACCCTTGTTCAGTCTGCATCTGGCTGCCAGTGGGGAACACAGCCAGGAGCTGCAGCTCCTCGCAGGATCAAACCACATGGAGTGCAAACTACCAGGACAGTAGGCAGGCAGGAACAGCCCTGGGCAGCATGCCTGCATGGCTTACCACTTATGAAGGTGCCTCCTGGGGCATTTGAAAACTTAAATTCTGTGTCCGTAAAAGATGTGCATTTTAACTGAACCCACTGGGGTTCTAATCAGCTTTGTAAAATTATACTTGGGAACAAATTTGGCGTCTTTTTAAATAAATTATATGACAGATTTTGATGTGCTGTTCAAACTACAAGCTGACCCCAGACCGCCTACCGGCCATCTCGGTAAAAACGCTACAGAACCCCTTTCTCGCACTTAGAGCACAGTCGACAGTAGCGACTGACGGCTCGTGCCCAGCTGTGGTGGCGCAGGTGGCAGGGTGCCCCTGCATGGTGCTGCGGCTATATGACGAGGGTCTGAGTCTCAGGACAACTTGAACGTGCCAGGGTCACCCATGGGTGCAGCCACAGCCCCTGCTGCCTAGAAGGCTGGTGGAGAAGACCAGCATAGCAAGATGTTGTCGGGAGGTATCTGTCACCTCTTCCCTCTTGAAATAAACAAGACAAAAATCACTTCTAAAAAAGATACACAATTTATTCAAAAGAGGGCATAAAAATTACAATTCTTTTTCCCAGAATCTAATTTGGTTTCTCTGTTTTTCAGACACTCACCAACGAGAGTACTGGCGACTGTTCTAAAAAACAAACACTGCCATACTGGCCACCTCTGCAGTACTCTGCGGGGCAAGGGACAAGGACACACAGGGAGGTCAGGCCACCCCAAAACAAGCTCTTTAATTACAGAGGACCCATCAAAATAAACGCATTCATTGACAGTCGAATAATTTTGATTTTTTGTTGTTGCTTCTTCAAGAGGGGTACGTTACAGTAAAGTACTCCCAAGTATGAAATCCCCCTGATCTCTCCCCGGTCTGAAAGGATACCTTTGAGACCTGGTGCTCTTCGGAAGGCTCCCACAGGTGCGATCTGCGGTAAGAGCAAACAAGCTGTCCACCGTGTGCGAGGCCAGTCATGCCCTCATTCATTTCATCCAAGGAGCCGGAATCAGCCATCGTCTTCCGAATCTGAGACCCCTAAAGCTGTCATCATCATTGGTTTTTTGCCACTTGTCAACAACCCCTTCTCAAATTCTTCTTCAGTAATTTTGCCTTTTTTAAACTTTTTCAAGAGCCTTGTATCATTAAGGAGTTCCTCCATGTCCTCATCATCAATATCGGAACCCTAAGTGCAGAGAAAACAACAATTTATTGGATTTCTCAGCAAGGAGTTCTGAACCAGCAATTTCTACTTAAGAACTGTGCCCTCAGATCAGCCTGCACCAATACAAGCTCCCCGCGCCAGTGGCCAACACAACAGCGACAGCGGAACGCCGTACAGTTCTTAGGAAAAGAGCAATTTGAGTGATAAAACTGCCAGCACTACCTCGGCCCTTTTCCTTTTGTCATTCATTTTCTTCTTCTTCTCCTTTCTGGCCTTCTGTTTCGACCATGCTTTGTTCTTCACAAACTTTCTTCTCCCTTCATTTTCTTTCTTGTCTTCTTTTTGTTGCGCTAGTAGTTTCTGCCTCTGCTTTTCTCTGGCTTTATCTTTAAATGGGATCGTGTCTGTATTAATGTCCACAGGCACAAAATCCGGAAACTGCTTTCCTCTCAGTTCTGGCATCTTGGGCATCCTTAGCAGAGCAAAACCTCGAGCAAGACTAGCAAAATCAAGATCTAATTAAATCAAAACACCACAGTTAGCACGCCCAAAACATGCCTGAGAGTCAACAATGGAAGCCTCCTGGCAACATAATTTCTTATCAGAGGATCTAATGTATTCATTTCAGTTAGAATTACATATTGGGCCGGCAGGTGGCATGGTGGTTAAGGACACTGGACTCCCACACGGCCAACCACGGTTTAGGTCCTGGACCTGGAGCCTCGCCTTCTCACTTTCTCTTCCCCCACCCCGTCAAATTAAAATCAATAAAGTTAAATAATTTTTTTTAAAAAATTACATATTTACAAGGTAAAAAGAAACAACAGCCAATGCTAGTTTATTCTGTCTTCTCAAAACCTAGGAAGACTTCCTTTTACATGTTTAAAAAACATCAATCCTGACATACACATCGCTACTTTTTTTTAATTCTGCCAGAAGGTATGTGCATTGGCCTCAGGGTAAGGAGAGGGGAGGGCGGCAGGGAGATGGAGAAAGCACCTTCTGTCCCCACAGGCAGTGGCCACACCACTGTCTTCTCTGCTTCTCAGTCCTCAGGCCTGGTGCACACACCCTGCGTTTCTCAAGCTGTAGCCCAGGACTCAAACTGCACAGTCAGCCATGGGGGATCCAGCGGCATTAACCACCACGCCATGGGCTGACTTTTTTTTTTTTTCATGACACAGTCTCACTGTCACATTCCTCCTGCTATAGCCTCCCATGTACCTGAGACCACGGGCCACTGTGCCATGCCTAGCCTTAAGGTGGGCCAGGAGCCCTGGGCCTCCCACGTGGCCGCAGCCTATCAAGCAGCAGCGACCACC